TGCTCTACTCTACTCTATACCGATTGTACTCAAATGCTATTCTGAGAATATTCTAAATCTGCACTATTCAACTCCAGTTTATTTTACTCTACGAATAATCTGCTTCATTTTGGATCTACTCAACTCTATGAATACATTAATAACTCTACTTTACTCTATTCTGATTGTGCTCGGCTCTACTCCATGAATACTCTACTCTAAATTTACCATGAATCTACTCTACTCCGAATCCACTCTACTCTGAGTCTACACTGATTCTACACTCCACTTCTCTCAATCTGCTCTATTCTACCCTATATTACACCACACTACTCTCTACTCCAATCTGAATCTATTCTACTCTACATGTACTGAATATACTCCGTCCTGAATCTACTCTACTCTGAATCTACTTTACGACTACTCTACTCTCTTCTAGCCTACTCTGATTCTGCTCTACTCTACACTGATTTATACTCTGATGCTATTCTGAGAATATTCTAAATCTGCTCTATTCTACTCTATTCTGATTGTGCTCGGCTCTACTCCATGAATACTCTACTCTAAATCTACTCTGAATATACTCTACTCCGAATCTACTCTGCTACGAGTCTACACCGATTCTACACTTTACTACTCTCAATCTGCACTATTCTACCCTATACTACACCACACTCTACTCCAATCTGAATCTATTCTAGCCTACTCTGATTCTGCTCTACTCTACACTGATTGTACTCTGTTGCTATTCTGAGAATACTCTAAATCTGCTCTATTCTACTCCAGTTTATTCTACTCTACGAGTAGTCTGCTTCATTCTGGATCTACTCAACTCTATGAATACATTAACTCTATTCTACTCTATTGTGATTGTGCTCTACTCCATGAATACTCTACTCTAAATTTACCATGAAATGAATCTACTCTACTCCGAATCCACTCTGCTCTGAGTTTACACTGATTCTACACTATACTACACCACACTATTCTACTCCAATATGAATCCGTTCTAAATATATTAATATTAATAATAATAATACTAATAATTATTATTTTACTATGTATTGAAAACAAAAAAGAAGAAAAAAACAAAGACAAATAGGGTATAATAAGAACAATAATTTTTTATTTATTTATTTATTTATTAATTTATTGCACATTATTTACAAATTATTGCTATAGACAAATTTCTACACAATATGTATATAATTAATTAATGAAATGTATTTGGAATTTCGCAAATAAATCAAGGCGGTTGGTTTTTGAGAAAATGTTCTCAAATTCAGTTGATAAAATGTTCCCAAAATCAGTTGAGAAAAAATAAATAAAATGTCAGAAAATTAATTGAGAAATTGTTCTTAAAATCAGTTTAGAGTTGTTCTTAAAATCAGTTGAGAATTGTTCTCAAAATTAGTTGTTAAAATGTTCTCAAATGATTTTCTCAAAAATCTCAAAAATTAGATGAGAAAATGTTCTCAAATTCAGTTGATAAAAAGTTCTCAAAATCAGTTGAGAAAATGTCAAATGTTTGAAAATTAATTGCGAAATTGTTTTCAAAATAAGTTGAGAGTTGTTCTCAAAATGTCATAAAATCAGTTGATAAAATGTTCTCAGAATCAGCTATGAAAATGTCAAATGTCAAATGTAATAAAATTAGTTGAGAATGTTTCTCAAAATTAGTTGAGAAAATGTCAAATGTTAAAAAATCAGTTGAGAATATATTCTCAAAATTAGATGAGAATTGTTCTCAAACCCAGTAAAGAACATTTTTCAAAGTCAGTTGAGAGTTCTTAAAATGTCACAAAATTAGTTGAGAAAATGTCAAATGTCAGAAAATCAGTTGAGAACATTTTTTAAAATTAGTTAAGAATGTTTCTCAAATTCAGTTGAGAAAATGTCAATTGTTAAAAATCAGTTGAGAATATATTCTCAAAATTAGATGAGAATTGTTCTCAAACCCAGTAAAGAACATTTTTCAAAGTCAGTTGAGAGTTCTTAAAATGTCACAAGAATTAGTTGAGAAAATGTCAAATGTCAGAAAATCAGTTGAGAACATTTTTTAAAATTAGTTAAGAATGTTTCTCAAATTCAGTTGAGAAAATGTCAATTGTTAAAAATCAGTTGAGAATATATTCTCAAAATTAGATGAGAATTGTTCTCAAACCCAGTAAAGAACATTTTTCAAAGTCAGTTGAGGGTTGTTCTTAAAATGTCACAAAATTAGTTGAGAAAATGTCAAATGTCAGAAAATCAGTTGAGAACATTTTTTAAAATTAGTTAAGAATGTTTCTCAAATTCAGTTGAGAAAATGTCAATTGTTAAAAATCAGTTGAGAATAAATTCTCAAAATTATATGAGAATAGTTCTCAAACCCAGTTGAGAACATTTTTCAAAATCAGTTGAGAATTATTCTCAAAATGTCAGAAAATCAGTTGAGAAAAAGTCGAGAAAAATCGACCGATATATTTTCCACATTTCAATTATCACAAAATACAATTTCGAAAAAATCGAAAAAGAAAATATTTTTAAAAATTTAAAAATTTAAAAATTTGAAAATATTTTTTTTTCGAAACAATCGTTGCTTCACAAAAGATATGCATATTCGATAACATAATAATACTGGGTGACCCAAAAAAAATACAATCTTCAAATTTTTTTTACAATTCTACCTCAAGAAGTGCCGGTAAATAAATAAATAAAAAATCAAAAATAAATAAATAAAATAAATGACTAAATAAAAAAAATACAGAAAAGTCACATCTAATTTATACAATTATTTATTTATCATCATTATCATTATCGACATTAATTTTTTTAAATATTTTTATTTTTTTTAATTTTTATATTTAATTTTTATTTATTTATTTATTTACCGAGGACTTTCGACTAGCTTTTTTGGTTTTTGGCCTTTTACGAAATTGTTCGACAGCCCAAAAATATTCGAGATTGTCACAATTTGGGGCTCAATATGAGCCAAAAAAACAAAAGAAATCCCTAAAAAACATATATATTTTTCTATATATATTTTTTCTATTATATTTTTTTATATGTACATATAAAACCAATTCGAATTCGCCAATTTCAAATTAAAAGCCTATGAAAAAAGCCTCAATAGAGCCTCAAAAAGATCTAAAAAAGCCTCAAAACAGACTCAAAAATGTCTTAATATATTGCTCATTTTGGGGCTCTTCGATTAGCCCCACCATTCAAAAAATATTTTCTCTTTCTAATTAGAAATCCGAAAAGAGCCTCAAATAAAACAGAAAATTGAGGTTTCTTTTATTTGCGGCTTTTTTCCTCAAAAAAATAAATAAAACGGCTGAATTCTATTAACAAAATTAGAACCTAACAATAAATAATAACATAGAGCCTACTTGGACTGTGTAGAGCCTTGTTATGGCTCAATATTTTGCTCTATTTGTGGCTTTACGATTAGCCCCTCTAACCCCTGTAACCACTGAAAACAACTTTTTTTTGTAATTAGAAACTCGAAAAGAGCCTCAAATAGAAAGAAAATTGAGGCTTTCTCCATTTAGGACTTTTTTTCGTCAAAAAAATAAAACAGTTTTTTCTTTTAACAAAAATTGAACCTAACAATAAATAATAACGTAGATACTACTTAAACTATTTAGAGCCTCAAAGTATCCTCAATATCTTGCTCTATTTGGGTCTATTTGGGATTACCCCATCTGCTCCCCGGAATTACCCTACAAAATAATCTTTTTTTTCAAATTAGAAACCCGAAAAGAGCCTCAAATAAAACGAAATTGAGACTTCATTTGAGACTTTTCTCCTTCAAAAAAAAAAAAATAAAAGCCTCTATTGAGCCTCTCTAGAGCCTCTATTGAGCCTGAATAGAGCCTCAAAAATAGCCTCACTACATAAATGCCCTAAATAGAGCATCAACAACATAGAGCCTCAATATCAGCAACATGTGCAAACTTTCACCCAAAAATAATCTCATTTAGAAACCTAAAAATAACTAAAATGAAAATTGAGGCTCTTCATTGAGGCTACTCCTTTAAGGCATATCTTTATACCAAAAAATATTTACAAACATATATGATAGCCTATCGAAAACAAAAAAATATAAACCAGACAATAAATAATAGAGCCTCAATAGCCCCAAATTAACACATCTTGCTTTTGCTCAATTGAGGCTTCTTTAATTGACGCTATTTCTATTACATATAGAGCCTATTTAGACCCTATTGAGCCTCAACAACATAAAGCCTCAATAGCCCCCTCAATCAATGGACGCAGAGCCGCTTCACTTGAGTCTTCTGGATGAAGCTTCTCAAATGAAGCTTCTTCGTTGGGGCTTCTGGATAGAGGTTTATTTGATAGAGGCTTCTGGATGGAGCCAATTTCAATTGAGACTTCTAGACTTCACTATTAGAGGCTTCTGGGTCAAGACTTCTTCAATTGAGGCTTCTGGATTAATGTTCTCAATTAAGGCTTGTGGAAGGAGGCCTCTGGCTCTAGACTTTTTCTGGATTGAGGCTTCTTCCATTGATTCTTCTGGATAAATGCTTCTGGAATGAGGCTTCACAATTGAGGCTTATCGATCGAGACTTTTTCCATTGACACGCCTTCAATTGATTCTTTTGGATAGAGACTACTAGAGTGATTTTATTTTGGATTTGAGACTTCTGGATTGAAGCTTCTCAATTGAGGCTTCTGGATTAAAGCTTCTTCAATTGAGGCTTCTTCAATTGACGTCTTCGATTGATTTTTCTGGATAGCAGCTTCGGCATAGAGGCATATGGAGCGATTCTTTTGGATTGATGCTTCTGGATTTAGGCTTCTTCCATTGGGACGTTTTTGATTGATTCTCCTGGAAAGAGGCTTCTGGATAGTGGCTTCTGGATAGAGGCTCCTCAATTGAGTCTTCTGATATGAGGCTTCTGGAATGAGGTTTCTCAATCGGAGCTTCCGGACAGAAGTATCCGGATGGAAGCTTCCCAATTGAAGCTTCCGGATCGAGGCTTCGACGTAGAGCCTCAATAGACCCCAGTCTATCAATAGACGTAGATCTGCTTCAATTGGGGCTTCAATTCGGCCGGTATGGCGTAGGCTGAGGCCGAGGGGGCGGTTTTGCAGCCGCCCCCGCCCGCGCCCCTCCTCACCAGCCGCCTCCATTTGCCCCCCAAGTTCTTCCTGAAGCCCCGCGCGAAGCCCCCCGACGGGACGGGGGAGGCGGGGGCGGACGAAGAGGCGGAGGGGAGGTTCTGTACGAGTTCCTGCAACACGGAAAGAGAGAGAAAATATATTAGTCGGTTTAAAAAAACGATAAAAAGAAGAAAGAAGAAAGAAGAAAGAAGAAAGAAGAAAGAAGAAAGAAGAAAGAAGAAAGAAGAAAGAAGAAAGAAGAAAGAAGAAAGAAGAAAGAAGAAAGAAGAAAGAAGAAAGAAGAAAGAAGAAAGAAGAAAGAAGAAAGAAGAAAGAAGAAAGAAGAAAGAAGAAAGAAGAAAGAAGAAAGAAGAAGAAAGAAGAAAGAAGAAAGAAGAAAGAAGAAAGAAGAAGAAGAAAGAAGAAAGAAGAAGAAAGAAGAAGAAGAAAGAAGAACAAATATGCGAAAGAGTAGAGAGAGAGAAAGAGAGAGAAGCGAGATTAAAAAAAGAGAGAAAGAGAAGCGAGAAAAAAGTGAGCAGAGATAAAAAAAAGAGAGAAGAGATAGAGGTTAAAAATCTAGTGTCAAAACTAGGGAGAAATGGGTGTAATAATCTGGGGAAAACCTAGGGACAAATGTGTCAAATCTGGATGGAAATAAGGCAAAAATCCAGTGAGAAATTGGGTTCATAATCTAGGGAAAAATATGTCAAATTTAGTGAAATACTGGGTTAATAATCTAGGGGAAAATGTGTCAAAAGTAGTAAGAAACTGGGCTAATCATCTGGGGGAAAATGTGTCAAATCTAGTGAGATATTGGGTTAATAATGTGGGGAAAATGTATAAAGGGGAAAAAATATCAAAAAATATCAACAAAATGGCGGATTTTCCTAATTTCTAAATTCATTCGAATTTCACGGATAAAAACAAACAAAAAATCGAAATATGGCGGATTTACACGGCCTACTAAGCGATTGTTATTACGTGAAAAAAATACGGCGCGTCCATGGCCTACTAAGCGATCAATTGTTTTAATATGTACAGTTACAAATAAAATGCGGAAAAATAAAACAAAAATGGCGGATCCAAGGTCTGCCTGATTGTTACAAAATAAAATAAAAACAATAAAAAAATTAGAAGAAAATGAAAAAAATTTAATGAAATAAAAAATGAATAAAAAAATTTATAAAAATAAAAAATTGAAAGAAAATAAAAAAGTAAAAAAAAAAAAAAAAAATTAAAGAAACAAAAAAGTTTGAAAAATATGACAAAATTTAAAGGAGAAATAAAAAAACCATAAAAAATAAAAAAAGTAAAAAAATATAAAAAAACAAATTATTTAAAAAAATCCAAGGCCCCCACCTGATTGTTATTGTACAGGCACCGCCTCCCTCCGACCTGTGGGGGCGGCTGCGTCCACAGGAACTGGCCCCCGTAGCCCCCCTCCTGCAGCTGCAACTCCAACTCGCGCGCCTGCTGCAACTGTTGCACCGGCTGCAATAAACAAAAAAAAATTAAAGAACGGTAAATCAAAAATTGTTAATTTAAAAAATTCAAAAGAAAATTAAAAGAAAAAAGATATAAAAAAAATGTCAAATAATAAACAGGATTTAAAAAAGACAAAAATAAAAAAAAAACGGAAAAATATAAAAAAAAATTAAATGAAAATTGAAAGAACTGAGCAAAAAGAAGAAAAAGAGATCAAAAATTAAAAAAAAAATTAAAATCTCAAACACTCAAATAAATTTAAGAAATCTAAGCAATTTAAGTAAAAAAAATTGAAAATTTAGAAATATAAATAATTAAAAAATGTGTAAAAAATAGGCCAGTACAAAAGTATTAAAAACATCAATAGTAAATAAAAAAGTTAAAAGAAATTGAAAAAATTGCTAAAAATTAAAAATAAATAAAAATAAAAAATGGAAAAACTAAAAAATAAATTAAAAACAAATGAAAAGATAAAAAAATGAAAAAAATAATATATACAATATTTCAACAAAACTAATAAAAAATATAAAAATGAGAAAATATGAAAAAAGTTAAATAGAATTTGAAAAAAAAAGAAGTAAAAATAGAAACTAAATAATTAATTAAAATGAAGATATATAAATTAAAACAAAATATATGTATAAAAAGAATTCAGCAAACAAAATTAAAAAAAAACAAGAATTAAAAAAAAAAAATTAAAAGAAAAAAAAAGAAAAAAGAAAAAAATTAATAAATAAAAAAAACAAAAAATTAAAAACAAATGAATAGATATAAAAAAAAGAAATTAAAAAAATATATAAAAATAAAAAAAATATATATATAAAAAAAAAAATAAAAAAAAATATATCCAAAGACACCCACCTGATTGTTATCGTAGACCGGGCGCAATTGTTGCAACTGTTGCACCGGCGGCGGCGCCGCCTCCAAGACGACGCCCGATCGGCCGGCGTCGGGACGCCTGCCCTCCTCTTCGTCCTCCTGCCGCTTCCTCAGCTTGCTGCGAACAAGTCGAATGGCTATCATTGTCCCATTACTGCCCACCATATTTATTTTATTTATTTATTTATTTATTTATTTATTTATTGTCTATTTTACGTTTTATTTATTTAGTTATTGTCCAAAGCTTGCTCGGGTTTTTAAGAAAAGAAACGCCACCGCCTGCTTTATTTAAGGATTTCGCGTTATCTAGGGGGCTTGTTATGCTAAAAGAGCGATTTTCTTCACTTTTCTTCACTTTTCTTCACTTTTCTTCAAGTTTCTTCACTTTTCTTCACTACCTTCTTCACTATTCTTCGCTAAATAATCCCCTTTTCTAAGGCGACTAGACGAAATTGATGGAATATCTTCCTTTTCTTCAATAAATAATATTCCAATATCAATTTTCCTTATTTCTTCACCGAGCCTAATCGATTTATTTCAATTATTCAGTATTTTCTTCACTAAATAACTCGATTTTTACAGGCTACTAGACGAAATTGACCCGTTTCTTCACAATTCTTCACTAAATAGTCCGATTTTCGAAGGCTACTAGACGAAATCGACGTATTTCTTCGCTATTCTTCGGTAAATAGTACGATTTTCACTGGAACAGCCTGCGGAGAGTTGTTTTTCGAGCGAAACGTGACGTCACACTGACGGAAAAAATCCCAGACGGCTAGATTTAAATAGAAATCGGGAAAATCCACGGCCTACTCGGCGGGTATTTTCGGCGCAGAAATCTCTATAAATAATCGCAGACGGCCGGATTTTCGAACGATTTTATTTTTTTTAGTTGTTTTTCGCTATTTTTCTTCCTATTTCGCCGGTTTTCTTCGTCGAATTTTCTTCTTTCTTAGAAATATCCTTATTTTCTTCACTTTTCTTCGCTAAATAATCCGTTTATCGAAGGCTACTAGATTAAATTGATGAAATATCTTCTTTTTCTTCACTAAATATCCTTATTTTCTTCGATAATCCGTTGTTTTCACAGCCTACTAGACGGAATCGACCAGTTTCTTCACTATTTTTTACTAAAAAATCCGATTTTCGAAGGCTACTTGACGTATTTCTTCACTTTATAACAATCTAAAGCCACCTTCGATATTATATAGGCCAAATATACGTTACTAAAGTTTTTGCACGGGCGACTAGATACCAATTCGATGAAGAAATACAGACGTTTCTTCGTTATTTCTTCGCTATTTTTTACTAATTATCGTTATTTTCTTCACTTTTCTTCGCCTTTCTTAACTGAAAAATCCGATTGTCGAAGGCAACTAGGCGTATGTCTTCACTTTGTACGGACAAAAAAAGTGTACGTCACTAATGAAGTCCGATTTTCGATTGTTATTTTACAATTCAAACGTTCCACAGGCGACTAGATTACGTATTTATTCACTTTATACACGATCCAAAGCCACCTTTGATACTGCACTAAACGTATATGTATAGTTCTGGTAAAACGTCACTAAAAATCAGCATTCCATAGGCGACTAGATTGCTATTTTGAAGAAATACAAGCGTTTATTCACGTTTTTTCACTATTTATCGTTAGTTTCTTCACTTTTCTTTAGTATTATTCGCTAAATACTCCAATTTTTACAGTCGACTAGACGAAATTGACCCGTTTCTTCCCTATTCTTCACTATAAATCGCCAGTTTCTTCACTTTTCTTCACTTTTCTTCAGTATTATTCGCCAAATAATCCAAATTTTCACGAAATCGACCCGTTTTCTTCGCTATTCTTCACTATTTTCCGTCAGTTTCTTCACTGTTCTTCACTTTTCTTCAGTATTATTCGCCAAATAGTCAAAATTTTCACGAAATCGACCCGTTCCTTCGCTATTTCTTCACTTTTCTTCACGATTCTTCACTGTTCTTCGCCAAATACCGTCGTTTCCATCGCACCTCTTCATCCACTATCGGCCCAAACGATCCGATTTCCACGGGCGACTAGATTCCCATTCGAACCGAACGCATTTCTTCGCCGAATACCATTCCAAAGCCTCCTTCGATCGACCAGAAACGTACGTATTCCTTCGCTCTACAACATTCCAAAGCCACCTTCGATATACCGTGCAATATATCGATATATACGTGTACACGCGCTGGTAAAACGTCACTATAAATACGATTCCAAAGCCACCTTCGAATCGGCGCTGGCGATTTATAGAGAGAGAGTTTCACGGGCGACTAGATATCGGATCGAAATACGTACGATACGTCACTAGTACGCGTACTATGATGTAGCGATAGGCTAGTATACGCTAGTATACGCCGGAATACACGCTATATCGGCGTATATTCGATATTCCAAAGCCGCCTGGGACGCGGTGGATTTGACACGAACGCGCGTTTACCGGGGGGGACGCTTTCCCTTCGACGTTTCGAAAGCGTCTGTGTTGTCTAGCAGGCGTTGGCGAGAATGGCGAGAGAGTAAGAGAGAGAGAGAAAGTATGTATGTTTGTCTCGCTCGCTCTTTCGTGCTGATTCTCCACCAGCTGGCTGGGTGTTGGGTGTCTAGATAGGCGAGTAATAAAGGGGACCTTGTGTGTGTGTATGTGTGTCTTTCTCTTTTTCTCTCTCTCACTCTCTCTATCTCTCTGTATCTTTCTTGGTTTCGGTGTGGTAGTAGGAAGTTTTTCTATCTCTCTCTTTCTCTCTTACTATTTATGTATACGTATGGTTGAAATAACGGTTTTTTCGCTTTATCTTTGTCTTTGTATCTTTTAAAAATTGGGTCGAAAATTGGGTCAAAACTTGGACGAATAATGCGCAAAAATTGGTCAAAAATGCTCTAAATTGCACTAAAACTAGTAAAAAATTGGTCAAAAATTGGTCAAAATTTGGACAAAGAATGCGAAAAAATAGCTCAAATATTGGACAATAAATGCGCAAAAACAACCCAAAAATTCTCTCTCTTTCTTTCTCTGGTCTCGGTGTGCTAGTAGGAACCTGTTCTCTCTCTCTCTCTCTCTCTCTCTCTCTCTCACTATTTATGTATACATATGGTTGAAATAACGGATTTTCGCTTTATCTTTGTCTTTGTATCTTTCAAAAATTGGGTCGGAAATTGGGTCAAAACTTGGACGAATAATGCGCAAAAAGTGGTAAAAAATGCGCTAAAATGCTCTAAAATTGCACTAAAACTAGTAAAAAATTGGTCAAAAATTGGTCAAAAATTGGTCAAAAATTGGTAAAAAATTGGTAAAAAATTGGTAAAAAATTGGTAAAAAATTGGTAAAAAATTGGTCAAAATTTGGACAAAGAATGCGAAAAGAAAGCTCAAAAGTGGGGCAAATATTGGACAATAAATGCGCTAAAACAGCCCAAAAATTCTCTCTCTTTCTTTCTCTGGTCTCGGTGTGCTAGTAGGAACCTGTTCTCTCTCTCACTATTTATGTATACATATGGTTGAAATAACGGTTTTCGCTTTATCTTTGTCTTTGTCTCTCTTAAAAATTGGGTCGAAAATTGAACAAAATATGCGCAAAAAATGTTGGTCAAAAGGACAAAGATTGCGCCAAAATTGGTTTAAGAATGTGCTAAGATGCTCTATAATTGCACTAAAACTACTAAAATATTGGTCAAAAATTGGTCAAATAATGCGTAAAATAGCTCAAAAATTGCTAAAAAATTGGAAAAAGAACGCGCAAAAACAGCTTATAAAGCAGCAATAAATGAGCAAAAACAGCTTAAAAATTGGTCACAACAGCGTAAAAATTTATGTATGCTAAAATATGCTCAAGATTTGGACAAATAATGCGCAAAATTGGTTCAAAAGTGCGTTAAAATGCTCTAAAATTGCACTAAAACTAGTAAAAAATTGCTCAAAAATTGGACAAAGACTTGACAATAAATGCGCAAAAACAGCTCCAAATTTAATAAAATTTTAAGCAAGAATGCGCAAAAATAATCAAAAAAATGCGAAGAAATTTGACAAAAAATGCTCAAAAATTAGTTAAAAATTGGGTCAAAATTGCGTTAAATATGCGTAAAAATTGCACCAATATTCGCAATAATTGGGTCAAAAATTGCTCAAAAATGGGTGAAAAATTGGGTCAAAAATTGGTCAAAAATTGGGTCAAAAATTGCTCAAAAATTGGTCGAATAATGCGCAGAAATTGGTCAACAATTAAACAAACTAAATATGCGCAAAATTTTTCCGAAAAATTGCAAAAATTAGTCAAAAATTGAACAAAATTGGAACTGTTAAAATGCTATAAATTGCACTATAAAATTGGCAAAATTTGGTCAAAATTGCACAAATAATACGCAGAAATTGGTCCACAATTAAACAAAACAAATATGCACAAAATTTTTACAAAAATATTCGCAAAAAGTCAAAAATTGAATAAAATTGGTTAAAAAATATGTTAAAATGCTCTAAAATTGCACTACAAAATTGGCAAAATTTGGTCAAAAAATGCGCAAAAATTTATCAAAAATTGCGTCAAAATTGAACAACAAATGTCTCAAAAACTGCAAAACTCTCTCCCTCTTTATCTCTCTCTTTCTCTCACTCAATTTGCATACAAGCGAGTAACCTTCCCTCTCTCTCTCTCTCTCCACTCTCGCTACGCTAGTAGGATAACCTCCTCTCTCTCCCTCTCACACTATCTACCTACACTCCAGAAATAACGTTTTTTTCCCCATCTCTCTCTCACTCTCTCTCTCTCTCTCTCACTCGCTCTCACACGCGCTGTCTGGGTGTCTAGATTAAAGCGAAGGTAAAAATAGAAGGTAAAAAAAATGTTGATCACGTGATCGCGCCGTGAACACTCTCTATCTAGGAGGCCGAGTGACGAGTGACGTAGAGCTGGTGGGGGGATATTGTGACGTAGGCAGGCGCCTACTGTGGATTTCTGCGTGCTTCTGCTATTATTTTATTACGGTTTCGGTGGGATCTGGGTTGGCCGGGTGTTCAGCGGCGTGCTGGGATTTTTTGTTTTAATATTTTTTTTTTGATATTTTGACGTTTTTGCGCGTTTGTTGGAACAGTTTTTGCGCATTTTTAGCGCGTATTGTGTGCATTTTTGGAACATTTTTTGCGCTTTTAAGCGCGTT